ACAAAATTGATATCAGAAATTTTGTGTTTCAAATTTTGGTTTCGTCAATCGTTCTTCACCTCGATAGAGGTTTTTAATTTGATATCGATAGTTTTGTAAGCGCTATTTTCAATGTTAAAGATTCAAGAAACATGAATTTGAATCTTTTTCAAATACAATGAAAATATGGATTTTTTGGTTATTTTTGGATCAAAATCATATAAATTGTGGTTCATAATGGGGAAAAGTGTTTTTTTCTGTGGTGTGCGATATGCATATTTTTTTATCTTCAACTTTGGGCTTAAATTGATGAAATTTTCAAGAGAACATATGCAGTCTTTTTCGAAAAAATGCCCGTTATGTGTGCGGCCAACGGTCAATTTTTGGTTTTGGGCCACCCCCACATAAAATTTTTAAGTCGCAATTGGCACCACTCGAGAGCTTACTTTAAGACCTTTCCAACGAATATGCATATGTCCTGGTTATGTCAAGTCTAGGTCCCTCAGTGACCGTATGAAATAATGGCCATTTTTGCATGACCTTTTGCATAGTTTTCCATTTATACTAACACCCAAATGGTTGAATTGCGGACTTACACGGAGTATGAACGGAGCTGTGCGGAGATAGACGAGAATTGTATTAAGAATATGCGTACGCATAGTAACCATTGCGCGCACACTAATTTACTTTCATCCGATTTACTCTCATCCGTTGTATGCTGTTTTCGTCTATCTCCGCACAGCTCCGCTCATACTCCGTGTAAGTCCGCTATTTAACCATTTGGGCATTTTTGTAGATTTCTTTTAATTTCATTTGTGACTAACCGCATGCACCTCTCCCGATGATAGTCCACCTTCTGGCCTGGTGGGAGGGGACATAAAATTCGGTATTTTATGGATCTTATGCGAGGAAACTATAAATTATGTAGTTATTTGTTGTAAAAATTTCATATTTCATACATCTAGACATTTTTGTGAAAATTCAAATTTTGGTACATTTGGCCGATTTTTGGTGGAATAGCCATCCAAAACGGTCGATATTTTGTTCAATTTTGTTTGGCTAGTCACAGAGCATATTTACAGAGTCATTTGAGTACATTTTGGCCCATAAAATACTTCAAATGTTAAAAGTAACATTTTTTGTCATTTTTGGCCATTTTTGGTCATATTCGCACTATCAAAGGCCATATCTCGAATACAAGAATTTTCTGAGATATGAGCTATGCGGCATTTTATAGCTTAGACTTGAGCCTAAAATTCGATGAAATTTTCATGTGACCAAGAAAGGCTAGTTTTCGAGCTAATGACCATTATGTGTCCGGCCAACTGGTAACTTTTTGGTTTTTGGCCAATTTGGCCACCCCAAATTGAAATTTTTGGACCGCAAATGACTTCATTCGATAGCTCACTTCAAGACCTTTCCACTGATATGCATATGTCCGGGGGGTGTCAAGTCATGGCGCTTCGGTGACCATAGGAAGAAAAGTGACTTTTAGAGGCCGGCCATGGCCAGCATGGCGGCCAAATCGAAAAGTGCCGGACCAAAAAAGTCTCAGTTTTTTATGTACTTTAATCCCAGAAAGTTTCAAAGAGGTACGCGAAAAAAGTGCACAGACACACAGATAGACATTTTGATATTTCATAGAAATTAATATGAAATTTTTAAAATAATAAATTTTTCGAACGGATTAACCGATTTCGACGTTTGAGTTATCGTTGGAAAGGTATTGAGCTTTAGAATTCGAATATCGATGTTTCAGGGGTCAATGACCTCATTTAGTGCCATCTATGGTCATGAAACTGAATTTTGACCCTTCTCTTGAAAGGACCATATTTTGAAGACAGGTGGACCGATTTTCAAACTTTTATATTTTTTCTTGATCTATAGCCCAAGGGCTTTCCAACCATACATCAACCGGGGCCAATAACGTTCTAGGTCTGTATTTCGTATATTACGTGTATATATAGCGAGTTCGACTTTTCAACACACTAATGTGGTTTCGTCACTCGCGCGAACTGCCGTCCGCTGTGATGCAAATTATCTGCAGAAGACATTTTTCTCTTTTTTTTTCATATTGTCTGTATTTTGTCTATGTTTAATTCTAAGGTTTCAGTAAAACCAAAATATATGACGGCCTAAGAAGAAAACAATAGCATACAGAATATTCTGCAAAAAGACGAATACAAATTTATGTGAGCAAAAACCAAATATACAAACAGACAGCGCAAAAGTAAAACACATAAATTTGTATTCGTCTTTTTGCAGAATATTCTGTATGTTATTGTTTTCTTCTTAGGCCGTCATATCTACAAGAGTCTTTGCAGCTGAAAATGCAAGATTTTCCCATTCTGAAATGTGTTAAAAGTGAAATTAATACAACGTTGTAATTTTTATATTTAAAATTTTATTCATTCTCGTCTTTATACATATTTCTCGTAAATAATATCATTAAACTCTAGTTTGTTTTTAGACACTGAATAAAATATATTCATATAATATTTATATCGGGATATATGCGTATATGGGAATTGAATAGCTTGTGCATATTATGTGCATTTGATAATAAGATCTGTCGCCATGTACTATGAGCAGAGATCATCCCAATGATACTATTTTCATTTAGTTTATATAGGAAAAATCTAAAAAAAAGAAAATTCGGAGGCGCGCAGCAAAAGTTATTGTGATTGAATCAATTGCCAAGCACACAAAATATTCAAAAGCAATCCAATCCGGCTTGTATACTTTTTTTATCATCATTTATAATTAATTTTAATTTCTTTTCATGTTTTTTTTTCTTCAGTTGTTCAGTTCGTTTATTGTTTTTGTCTCTATTATTATAACACCACAATGCTTAAGGTCATTTGTTTAATCTTAGTAAGTTTTTTTTAAAGAATTTATTCGTAGTATGTGTAGACCGTCGTAGTTTTCTAGGTTTTTATAATTTAGTTAATGCATAATGCAGTATGGTGTGTGTGTGTGTTTTTTTTTAATAATTCGTTCATCATTCTCCTGTCATATTATGATTACTATTAGAAAACTTAATTATAAATGATTTACATAATTACCGACTAAAATTTAAAATAAAAAGAATGTGATAAAGGGTGAGTGTTAACAAAAAAAAAAAAAAAATATGTGTGGCAGTTTATATCAGGAAATCAGAACATACCGACTTTTTGATCATCCGTTCAACAGGGAATAGATTTTTCTTTCATTCTGTAAATTTTAATATTTGCCATTTAAAATTTCATACAATTTTCACCCATCGTCACGGATTATTTAGTTTTAGCATGTTTTTTTTCTTTCTGCTTGTTTTTTTTTTTGTTTCAATAATTCTACATATGGTTATGTTTAAATTACTTGTGTTTCAAATATAATGCATTTTCATTTAGTGTTCTCTCACTTTTCATAATTTACAGTATTACAGTATATTCCTATACGTAGCTTTTCCACCATTTTAGTCATCATCATCAATTTTTTCATTTCTTTTCTTTTGTTATCCTAGAACTTGATTTTCCAACCGCCCTTCATCATTTTATCATGTTTACCACATCCTTTTTATGATTCATGGGGGGAAACTTACTTATCTCTTACAATCTACATTGTTTCTCCAATAAAATCAGTAAAAATTGGGGGGGAGGGGAGGTTATGTTTTGTCGAATACATTTTGTGATAGTAATTATGAGTATGTGTTCAATGTTCATGTTCTAATTATAGACAAAACAAACTAATCTGTATTTCAAACAAAAATCGAGCCACAACAATCGAGGAAAACGAAAATTAGACACAATAGAAATAGAAATTTAATGTATAGGTAGGACGTTACATACATATTTTTGTGTTTCCCTTATTTTTTTTGAATTTTAGATTTGCTTTGAACAATATTTCGGGAATATAGCCTTTCAATTTTGATGGTTTCATTTTATTTTACTTCCCTCATGCAATCGAATCGATTTTTTTCTGTTTAAGTCTTCAAAAAAAATTTCATCACGTCTTATCATTCAAATCTATATCACTTTTCAAAATATACCATAAATGGAAAATTGTTTTGCTCATGATATAGAGAAATAATGTGGCACAAATTTCAAAGTAACTACTCAGATCAAACACATAGTCTTTTTAATCAAATGGAAAACTGACAATTAATTCCGTTATTGGTTATTTTTTTCACAAATAAGTTATTTTCAATGGCTAACATATTGGGATTATAGAATTTTAAATGTGAATTTCAAACGCATAAAAAATGACATGTTTTTTGTAACATTCTCTAACATATTTATAATATTTTCACCAGGACACTAAATCATTTTAAATTCGTGCGAAATTCCTTTCAACGATTGTTTTTTCTTCACATATTTGTTGCAGCTTGAAATGGTTATGTTTTTTTTCTCTCTTTTTCTTTCGATCGATTGGGTAATTTCGATTGGTTTCGATATATATGTTCGATTCTATTCCTATGCACAGCGCATGGTAAGACCAAATCGTTTATGCTCATTATTTATTTAAAACATTTTTTCATTGCCAAAAAAAAACTTTACTAAAACTATTTTGAAATACAGATTATTTTTCAGTCGTTAATTTTCGGTTTTAATTAAATAATGAATTCAATTTTTAACCATTGCATGTTTTCTAATGATAAAACTGGTGAAATATATCATTTGAAGAAATTCGTTCGAATCCACATTGCGCGAAACTAACACACTTTTAATTTAAATAAAAAAAAAAACAATAAGGAAATGATGATTTGAAACATAATGAATTTGGGAATAGTGTGTTTGAATGTGGGTGAGAGATAGAGAGACTGTGTCTGAGTGTTATAAATGATGTTGCATAGATTATAATCATATCAAATGCTTTTCAATTGATAAATTTATTGCTGCCGGTTTTTTCATTGTTGATTGCCTTTTAAACCTATTTCAGTAAAACTATGTCGCTTTCCTTGCTAGTTATCTAATTTATATTGTTTTCACTTTCTTTATCGATATTACGATGCATATTTGTGTATTTTTTTGTATTGAATGGATTATTGAACAAAAAAGAATTCAATTATGGTCATGGACTTTGTAAATGTCTAACTTAAATAAATTTATTGTAAGAAAAACGAAGCGTGCAAATCATAGGAAATGCGATGTTACGACGATTAGCAATTCGGTTGTCTTAAAGTAAAATTGTATTGGACTATGGCAATTCAATGTGAATGGATAGATTGTTATATGCGTGATAATCTTGAGAAGAAAAGAACGTTCGAAATTAAAAAAAAATACATTTTACAAAATATGCCTTATGATGGAAAGAAAAATAATTTCTATAATTCGTTTGAATATCTCCTTATTTCACCGTGATTTCTCTCTTTCTCTCTTTTCTTAAATGGCATTTTTAGTGATGTAGTTCATAAATCTCATTATAAAACTCGAATAATCTAAAATCTGTTCGAATAAAATGTACAATAACCTGACCGTTTTGTTTTTTTTTTTTATTTCAACATCTTATCCAGAAATTCCTCTTTTGTTTTGTAATGTTTGTATTTGTGCGGTTTCACAGATACTTTATTATTAACTGAAAACTATTGACATTTCTGTGAAATTTCATTAACTTTATTAACTGCAAATGTCTCTCCCAATTTGAAAAATAAAAAATGATGATAAAAAAAACTGATAATATTTAAATATAAATTCAAGAGAATAAACAACGAACGATTTAATACCATTTTTTAATGTGATATTCTCTCGTTGCTGAGCATTAGAAGATCAAACAAAAAATGATGGATCCACAGAGAAACTTCCAATAAAATAAAATTGAACAAAAAAAAATCAATTTGGACAGTACTTTTTTTGTTCGCGAAGAGCCTTATTTTAGATTCAATATTCAGATGAACACTTTGAAATTACCAATCGGATTTGTTCCGTTCGTTTTTTTCTCTAGTCTTTTTCATATGTTCATTTGGAACAATCATATAATACTATCGAATTTCATCACATAACAATACATATATATATATATATATATTATTCGAGCGAACCGAATACGCGATACACACACTGTAGACACATGGTTTTCTGTCAATTTTTAGAATTATTTACAAAATTACAAGATGCATGTTGCTGTAATTTATTTATTGAATGGAATAAATTTGCGTAAGTGCAATGAATAAATTTGAATTGGGCCAAGAGTTTCATGTCCAAGTATTCTTGGATTAGAATGATTAAAATGAATATGTGTGCATGTGATAAATCACATATTCTGCTTGTTAATATGAATTTTGTAATGAAAAATCCAGCTTTTCATCAAAAATCGAACCAAGTTTGTGTTGGAAATGTGTTTGATATCAAAATTGACATCGACTTGTCATGCATTGTTCAAACGCATTTTTATGAAAAAGTGATGAGAATGCTTCGGTTTTTTTTTTGTCAATGCGTATTTCGCGTTAACTGTTTACAATTGTGTCTGGGCTCAATTCAACGATCGATTCCAATTTGTAAGCTGCCTTTTGTTTAAATCCATATTCTTCTGTTCATTAAATAATGTAATTAAATAAGTACGATAAAATCGTGCATATACGAGAGAATACACTGTTTTCTGTTTTGTGTGTTTGTGTGATTTTTCTTCTTCTACTTTTTCTTAAAATTTTTTTTTTGCTTCTTCATTTCAGTGAGAGATTTTCAATGAAGAAAGATTTTTTCACCGAAAGCATTGAACCAATCTATCTCCGCTAGATATACTGTTTAAGTTATAGTAATGCTGCTTGTGCTGGCTGTGCTGGCTATGTTGCCGTTGTTGGTGATGGTGTTGCTGCTGATGCTGCTGCAAATAGCCGCTACATTCAATTGAATTATGCCTAATACAACTGTCATTATTTAAACTAAACTTATCACTACTAATATTTAATTTAATATTATCACTATTTGTTGTATAAAGAGCAATGAATGCATTTTTTGTCAAATTGATAGTGCCTTTTGCTTCGTCGTAAGTTCGATAAAGGTGACTATGTACAAATGTTGATTTAGAATAGTTTAAAACAGTATTCGTATTGTTCAAAATGTTATTAGGTGAGGGTGTTGTTGTAGTATTATCATTAAAATTAGTAGTAACGATTGACCGCTGTTGCGGTATTAGTTGAGGAGGCATTGCCTTATCGATTAATTTCACAGATGCAGTTGCAGTTGTCCTTGAAGCTAGGCAACATTGTTGTTGTATTAACATTGTTGATGCATGCGCTAATTGTGAATCTTCCGTGTTTGATATTTTTTCGTTCCACGATGTTTTCGTTGTGACGTTGCTGTCATCAACATCGGCCCGAGGCACATTCGTCAATTGGCACTGGCTTGATGCTAATTGACACATTTTGGACGACATTTTGGTACTATTATCAGCATCTACTGTATCATCAGCTGTAGCATCTGATTCATCAGTAGTAATATTATTAGCACCAGCAGGAACCTTGCACCGAACAATGTGGATTAAATTCGGCACAAACATCGATTGAATTACAAACGTATAATTTAGAAAAAACACTAGCGACAGAGTCAACACAATGAATGACAATTGCTGTGGCATCCAGCTGAATAGGAACGATGTATAATTGTCTGCGGATCGCCGATTTGCTCTCATCAAACTGGATCCAGCATTATTGTTATAGGTGAGCTCTTCATTCTTAACGACCTCATTCGGATGCTTATCGTACTCGCCTGAACATTTTTCGAAAACCATTTCGAAAAAGAGAAAGAGAAAAAAGAACATTGAAATTAGAATCAGACACGTGAAATTTAATGAAAAAGAACAGAATGTGCAGTGACAAAGTCAACAAGTGCCACAATCACATACAAACGGAAATTTTCCGACAGATGTTGTTCCGAAGCACACTTACTTGTTTTCTTAGTTGGTTTATGGGACGGCGCATTGTTACTATGATTAAAATTGTTATTGTTGAAGTTTTTGTTGTTGTTGTTGTTGTTGTTATTATTATTATTTTTAAATTTGCTATTGTTGATCGCACTGTTGATGGATGAAGGTCTAGACGAAGTCGGATGTGGATGGTATTGTTGCACTGATATTGTGGATGTGATTGGATTGCTGTGACGATATCCACTATTGCCATCGTTTTCACGCGGTAGCCAAGTCATTGTGCTCTTGACAGCATTGCTTGTGTTTATTGTTAGGGATGGAGTGCGTTCTCCCGTAGCATTGCCCATTATTGTTGTCTGCAAATTTATAAATGCGTTTAAAAAGGCGATTTTGAAAGGTAGGTGATTTCTTTATTGAATTGATGTTTGTTAATATATTTGGCAGAGACATTTTTTTGATTGAAATGCGCTTTTTTTCAATGACATTTTTCAGATGTTCAAACTTTTGGCATACGTCTATGAAGAAATTTCAATCAAAAAAATTCGATTCAATTTGCGTTAGAATCAAATTTGAAAGTATTTTACATACATTCGTTATGGATTTTGTTTGAATAAAGAAAAAAGTTTGGTTGAAAATAAAAATGATTGTATTGTAATGCTGCAGCTCCATGGAGCTATAATAATAACATTCCATTTTAGCGAAACAATACATATATTGTATTAACGATTTTAAAGTCAAAGTTTCTTTTCGCATGAGAAAAAAAAGCGATTCAAGTGGTATCGAAAGAAAAAAAAAGTTCAACTGCTCTTACATAAATGGATGGAAGAAAAAAGTTGAAGTTTCAAAAAAAAGTCTTAAGCAGACTTTGTGGTAAATGCGTCTATGGTACTCACCGTGGAATTGGTCTTGGGTGCAATATCCAACGATGTCTGGGTAGCGTTTTGTGTTTCAGTTTCTGGTGCACAGCAGACTTTAAAAACGACTTTCATATTATTTGTGGAACACCTTCCACCTATTCGCCTATGCAGATCATCTTTCGAAGATGTTGCTGTTGTATGTATCCAAGCCGGGTATAAATGAAACAAATAAAAAATGATTAAAACTTAGTAAATTGGCGTATAGTTGTTATATCCTTCGTATTGAGAAGAGAAGAGAAAATGTAATGTGAACAGAAACAATTGAATGCAATCGAATAGAAGCTAAACAAATGATTGAGGTAATTGTTGGAAAAAAGGGTTTCTTAGCACTTTTTATATGTATATTCGACATATAAAGAACGATTTCATCCAGTGTGTGTTTAGTTGTTTTCGTTCAAATGGTCATCCGAATCGCGTGTAAAATTGCAAAAAGGAAAGAAACCTTTAGAGAAAATTGAAGTGGAATCGATTCAATTTAACCAAATGCACCAGCACCACCGCCCAGACTGACCTGAGCCGAGCGACGTAGTGAGTGTTCGAGTATGCACAATAAGGCATTATTTTACATTGCATTCAATGGATAGACTCTGCACAAACACATATATATATACAGGCCGGCCAATAATAATATAAATACTTGTAAAATGAGAAATTATGTCGTGCATGTGCACAAAAACAAATCAATGGTTCGGTTTAAATGTAATGCTACTTACAAATGAAATAGTAATCATTTCCTGGTAGGAACTCCAAACCACCTGGTTGTGGTGTAAATGGCCGAAATGTTATTGTAAAATACATTAATTTTTGCGGTTTATCGCATATGGCTATAATACGAGGATTCGCATTTGTAATGCGACACGTTTCATATTCAACCTTTGATACATTATAAATGATATACTTTTCGGTCTCATTATCGAAGGTGCCCTGTTCGTATACCGGACATATTATGTGCACTTGATCGTACTCAAAGGCTAAATTTCCTTTATTCACGTCTATGATGTGATCAGTGTTGTCTATTCGGAATCTGTAATGAAAAAAAAGAAGAGAATAAGGGCGTTTAGTCAATATTTTTTGAACAGAATGCAAATGTCTTCGGTTATTTTTATTCTACAAAATATTTTCATTTAAATTCTACCACCATAAGTTTTATTTCATATACGATATTGTGCTACTTTTTTTTTTCCAATTCAATCATCATGTATGAAGAGAGAAAAAAAGTGCAAAATTTAATCTTGAAAGAATTCCAAAACCTTAGCATATACATTGGCTTGTTCAAACAAGATAGCCAAAGTGGATATGTTTCTAGAGTGTAATCATTTCATTTTCCATCCAATTTTTTTTTTCGTTCCATAAGCAAATGGATTCCTTTTAAATTGATGAAAATATTACTTTGCGATTTTATACGGAATTTTGATGATGGCATGAAATATTTTGGTGTGGTTTTAATCCAGATTAACAGTGTTATTTACGCAGGTGTTTTTCTAATTATCTGCCATATTTCGTGGCGTAAATGTAAATCAGGCCACTTCAAACGGATGATTCTGGTGGCGATCTTTATGCAAGCGACATCGTTATTATGCGGGAGTGTACAAAAAAAATGTCATAAACAATATGATAGCTTTGTTAGCAATTTCTTTTTAGCTTTTAGTAGTTGGCATTCGTATGGCGCTTTTTTTTGTTCATTTTATTCTAAAAAAAATCTCTTTAAGCTCGTCGAGCTTTGATTGTTCCATATACCATAATGAACAACAATGCCAATGGAAATATATTCGGATTAACATGAAGATTATATAGCGTGCACAGCAACCATATACGTCCGAATGAGGAGAGAAAAAAAACGTGAACCCTCCGAAACAACTAAATAAAACCAAATTCGAAATGATTTTGGAGATTTGTCGTGTTTGTTCGACATTTGAATGAGAGCTACTTCGTTTCGTATTCGATATTTGAATAAGACAATAATGGCTATAGCTTTGGTGTATGGTTTTATTTTTTTGATTTGAAAATTCAGTCGTTTTAGGACCCAGAGTAACAATCGATTGCTCGCATATATTCTGTATTCATTTGAAACGAAATCGATAAACAATTCAAATTGTCTACGCATAAACTCCAAATCTTAACCAACACTTTCAATTCACTGACTTCAAAGATTGCCTTCGAAGCAACAAACCAGCCAATTGCATTTGAATAGAAAAAGACGTGTAAAAATTCAATAAAACAACTATTTGATTTTTATGTTTTACTTTTCGTTTTTTTTTTTATATAGATTCATGTTGTAGCCTGCTCGGTTTGGCTGTGCAGTGTGCTTTGTTGGATATGTATTCAGTGTGTGTGTGCAAAATGGAATATACGAAGAGAAAATAGGTGTATTTCTTCAATCATTTTATCTGCAATACCAAAAAAAACATGGCTTATAAAATGTTATAAGCAACTAATCCAAAACGATAGAAGTACAACACATAGCGCAACAAAGCGCCGTCAATAGCAACATGCAAGTATAGGTACATTCACATTCACCAAATGAAGTCTCTTTTTCTTTCTATCTCATGTGCGCGCACACACACATATATGCACACAAACATACTTTTATACAATATATGTATATACGGGCACATAATTCATAAAAGAATAACGATGAAAATGAAAAACGAAAAAGAAGAAGAAGGAATGAACAGCAGCAGCAGCCAGTCAGCCAGCCAGCAATAACAGAAACAGATACAGAAACGCGAACAAAAAAAAATCCAATTTTGTCCATGTCGTAGGATACATTCGTTGAACATATGCAATGAGAGAATGTTCTTAATTTCGTATCTTTTTTTTTCTTTCTCTCGCTGCCTCTTTTTGGATTTTTACTGTTTTCATAGGCAAAAACTGAAAATAGACTGACGTGAAGATAGATATAAACGTTCGTTTCATATTAATTTTCTCATACAATTTTCGTCTATCGGGAATATCTTGCGATCCAAATAGTAACCATAGATGTCGATTTTGATTTTTCCAGAGAATGAGAGAGAGAGAGAGAGAGAGAAAAATAGAAAATATGTATATATTTGTTTGCTTTGTTCTTCTCCATGAGAGCAATCCATTTTGAATTAAAGGAATGGAGAAACACTCGGTCGATTCAAGTCGAATATTTTGTGAGACCGAGAATGAATCATACCAACAACAAAAGTACAAAGAAGGGCATCGATATTAAAGAGGCTGATTGAGAATGAGAGAGTATGAAAACACGAAAGAAAAAAAAGAAGAAAAATAATTCCGTATACATACACCGACATGCAATCGAGGTATAAAAAGCAAAGCAATATGGCCGATCAAACGAATGAATTTTCTGCCTCGTTCGGTATTTTCTTCTTTCTTGTTTTTGCTGTTGTTGTTGTTACCGCTGCTGCTGCTGCTGCTTTTGTCCACAATGAAAGTAACAATTTAGGGCTTCGAATTTTTGACATGCTTATCATGAATCAATCAGCACTAAAGATTTTTTTTTTTAACCAATACAAAATGTAGACGATTGCATTGCAATGGCTATTATTTGACTTAAACATGCACAAAAAAGCAACAACACCAACACCAGTGTTTGCAAAAAAAGAAGAAATTTGTATATCGTGTATGTTCGTTTGGCTTTATCTGGAATAATGACCACTGCATCTATCAATTTTGAATATACGGCTATTTGGAAAAAGAACACACGTATTTCCTGTGCTAACCAATTCGAATATGCAATACACATACAATATACTCGTGCAAGTTCGTTGTGATAAAGAATGCATCGATCGAACGGTATGAACAAACGATTGGTTAGTTTTGCTTTGACGTATAGGAATAGAAAAAGATGGAACAATGCACACGGCAGAACATTGCACCCGCACGAATCATTTCAAAGGCGATTCGTAAATTCCAACATTGACAGCAACTAAACTCTTTGGAATCGCATCTTCAGCCGATAATTTTCCGTATTTCTTTCTCTTTTTCATGTTAGGTCAGCGGTGCCGTGAATTTCAATTGAAGTGAATGTGTGTTGCTTTTGCAACATTTGAAGTTGTTTACTGATTTGTACTTTGTCATTTGCAGCTCTAACGAATTAAACGAACAAATTGAGAACATTTTTTTTTCATTTTCCATCTCTAGACATCCATCGCATTCTTTTGGTCTTGTTTCTTTTTTTTACTCTTTTCGTTCTCAAGATGTGAAAAAAGAAAAACGCATGCCCCGCACAATGTATTGATGATCGACGGTAATATATGTTGTAAAATGTGAAAAATCACATCGAAATTAAGACACTTTTCATCGAATAGAAGGCAGATATTGTTTAGAATTGAGGATTGTTATTTCGTAATGGACGATGAATGACACCGTGCTCGATTGACATTCGGACAATTATGAATACATTTGTTAGTAATCTGAAAATAAACAAAAGCGATGATCACCACGATCATGATGATGATGTTGGTGTTGGTGTAAGAAACAATCGTGTCATTAGAAGCGTATTGTCTAGACCGCATTCTATGGGGCGAAGAGTCGACAGAGAAAAAGAAATGAAAGAAGATAGAGACTTGGCTTGGTGTTGCGATAATGAAGAAAACGACGATGAAAACAAATTCGAGCGGACGCAAATAGATGGATGGTGCAGATTGAGCCGAATAAAGTTGAATTTTTCTTTTAAATAGGAGCGTTCAAAATATAATGGTATGCTTAGTATGTGGTTCGTGTGTCCGATTGCATGGGCTTGAGATGCCACAATGAGAGAGAGAGAGAGAGAGAGAGAGAGAGAGAGAGAGAGAGAAAGGTATGAAAAAGAAAGAAAGCGCACTAAAACACCTCTTTATGAAATATAGCGGTCAGTTCAGCGTTCAGCATTCATGTACGCATACAAGCACTTCTTTTCATTATAGTTTGTGTTCTGGTATTCTTGTTTTCGCCGTTTCTAGATTCTCGTCGCTCATTTTTCGTTGGTATTTTGCTTGATCGCTTTGGATTGTTGTTGCTCTCGTTTGAACTTCTTCATTTATCTGTCGTTGCCCATTTTGTTTTCGACTTCTTTTTCGTCTTGTTATTCTTTTTGGGCGCATTCGATCTGTTCATTTCTTTCTTCTTCGTCGTTGTCGTCGTTTACTTTGGTTTCTTCTACATATTCTTCTTCATTTCGTTGTGTCGTTTTTACGGCTGTTTGATATCTTTGCCTGCTTGACCTGCTTTGAATATTTCTCTTTTTTTTCCTTCTCTCTCTCGTACATTTCTCACTTTTCTTTATCGTTCTTGCTCTCTATCTCTCTTTCGCTCACTCACACACAATCACTCACTCATTCTTGCCGTATTGTATGACTAATTTTCTGTGTTCTCTCGAATATTTCCACATACATTTCTTGTATTTCATGTTATTTTTTTTTCTTCTTTCTTTTCGGTGTTCAACCTCTTTCGCATCGATGATTCGGCTTTTAGTTTTGACTCTTTGGCTTTGGCTTTGGCGTTGGCTTAAGCTCTCTGGCATTACCACTGTTGCTGCAGATAAGTGCGTGTGCGTGTCTTTTAATTTGACCGTTTCTTCCGCAGTTAACGAAATAATAACATGTGCAGTAAATACATCACAAGTAATAATTTACAGTTTCGAAGTGTCAAAATGCGTGTGGCAGACACACATACACACACATGCCCCGTATCTATATAAGAGATACGCATACGCCACATGAAAAACCATTGCATTATATTATTCGAGTGGCTATCTCTTTTGAGTCGCATCCACTTTTCAGGCAGTCTGGTGCTGTTTAACAACACGTATTTCATACATACAAATAAAATACGTACATATATAAAAAGTCCTCGTCGCATCGCTTAAGAATGAACATTAAACAAGCTAACAAAAAAATCAACAAGAAACATCATCGAGGCAAAGATGAAAGAGGCGACAGCGAAACAAGCCAAAGCTAAAGCCAAACCACATCATCGTTCGTATGATATTCATGATTCAAATATAAAGAAATTTCACATTCACATAACATCATACTTATAGCATATTGTATAACGCTGCTTTTATACCATTTCATGTTTTCATACGTATATGTGTGTATAGATTCAGGTACGAGTACTGATATTGTTTGCAGTCGTGTGCAGTTTTTCTTAAATTTTTTTCTTCTTCTTCTTCTTCTTTCTTTCTTATTTCGTGTTCATTCTCTCCATTTTTGTTCGTATTGCTTTTGTCCATTCCTTTCGGAATTTTTCGTGCTCTTTTTCTTTTCTGACTCTCGCGCAGAGATCTTTTCGCTTCAACATTGTTGTTGTCTTTACTTTAAACTTCCATCTATCGCTTCTATCTTTCATTGCTTTTTACGTTTTTTTTGTTGGTTCGATTCGATATTCAATTGTATTTGCTTTTGTTGCTTCGATACGAATTGCCGAAAAATGCAGGAGATTTAATATCCATGGCATATGAGTAAAATATGTGTGTGAAGCTGTGAAGAAAACCAAAGCGGCCACTATTTTTTCATACAAGAAATATAACTATTTAGTAGAAGTAATTGAGAAAAAGAGCTTGTCATTTTTTTGTTTTCAATGTGTTTTTCTTGAGTGTTTGGTAAAAATTGGATTTGAAAAATCGACGGCCTTTTTTCCCATCATCCAAAAATGTAAGCGAGTTAAGATCGATTTTTTTTTCATGAAAAAAAACTGCATAGAATCGTTGACTGCTTTAAATTGATTCAAATAATGGTTTTGCTGTGTTATCGCTTAAAATGCTACATGAAAGCCGCTCGGCTGACAAACATTGTCGACAATGAAAACGACACATGGCGAGAACGATCAGACCAACAATGAACCCAAACAGACAACAACAACAACAAAAAAATGAAACAAAATGCATTTAAAATCTCATGATAAATGAGAAATATTTGTTCATTATGTGATATTTTAGTTTTATGTTTTATTCCCTTTCGCCTCTTGAACTATAAATGTAGCGCACGATATACATATATATATACATCTTAAAATCGGGCTGTTTTAACTCTTTGATCGTTTCGAAAAGAAAAAAATTCGGCATTTTTTCTTTACTCGGATTTATTTGTTAAGTTGTGGTTTGATTGTTGTTGTTTCTGTGTTTTTTTCTGTTCATTTTAATGTTTCTTTTTCGCCAAAATGTTCTTTAGCTTCCGGGATGCAATCGTTGAACAAATTTTTTTCCCTCTGGTATCTGTGCAACAGTTGAAATTTAATTCTTTGCTGTGATTTTCGCATTTTATATTCATTTTCTGAAATGTATTTCATATGAATGGCTTAACTAAGCCATCGATTCGACGGGATTACAATCATATATGTATATCATGTTTATAAATGTGAGCGTAAAAGTGATGGCAATTCCGTTGATGGAGATTGTTATGTATTTTGATTTAACAACGAAAACACATTGAGACGATCATCTTCATTAAACTTCTTTTAAGAAGTGTTGGGTGTGAAATGTTATTATTGATTGAATTTATATTTATATGCTAATGGTTTGCTGTTTTGTCTAAGTTTCTACATTTGAAATGAGAATGCTTCGGTAACTGATGATGGTCGATTTAGTTTCGAATATTTCATTTGTGTGTGTGTGTATGTTTTTCGTTTAGTTTCGTTTTTGGTTTTTCGATAAATGTATAACTGTTTTTTTTAATGGTAAATTTACTTACATGCTATTCGATGTATTCCAATGCATAAAAAACGTTTTGGCACAATTCGAAACGGTTGAGAGCAATACAGTTTCTAGGAAAATGAGTAGAACAACCGTTAAACACGATGTCGCCTTCAGTCCAGGTAGCCCGATCAAACGTTGTTTCCTTGTCGTTTTCATGTTTGTTTTAGCCATTTACCATCTGCAATAAGAAAGTAAAAAGAGGAAACTACTCATTAGAGCTGGCCTATTAAACATTGAAAGAAATAATTTGTAAAGAGAGTAATTGATGATATTAAATCAATTCCATTCGGTTCATTTCAACTAAGGCAATGAATACGAATAATACGAATTTTATATCAACATCGAATGTCAAAATTCGACAAATATTCCGATTCATACAGGCTGCTCACTCCAAACCGAATGAGAATGACAAATCAAGTCACCAATTTCAATAATTTGTAGGAGATTTTTGTTCTTTGAACATTGTGAAAAAAAAAAAAAAAATTGCTGTTATTGTAGATGATTTTTCAATTTCAACAGACTGGCAACTATTCACATCAAATATGCAATCGATGTGAAACAATTCTTTTCAATTTTCCTCCGCTTTAAACTATAATTTGGAAGAAATTGAAGACAACCATACATAGTAGATGATTTGAGTAACGCCCCTGACTTTTTCTTCGTTTTTTTTTCGAATTAAAAAAAAATTGTCAACGATTTTATTAGCCCAAAGGGGATGAGAAAGAAAAAATCACAGCCAAACACGAATCGTACTTTTTTTTTAAATGAAATAAATTGCCTTAAATACAAAGAAAAGTGGTTGACAACACCCCAAATAAGGTCACATTTGAATATATTTCCACTTTGATTATAAGTATTCCAATAGTCTTAAATTTAAAGTTTTAAATGTTTTCAAACAACCGAATTTTCTGTGAACGTTATATTTATGTTGTCAAGGATTGTTCTTTTTTTAATTCTTCTGTGAGCCATTGTAATTACAAGAGCTTCACTCAAATAATCGGATTTTTAAGTAATCCATGTTTATGGTTGATTTGTTTAAACCAAATGGCAAAATGTTACCGGGAGAAGGTAATCTATACAATATTCGCCACAAAAAAAATGTATTTGGACATTTTACAAATAGAAAAAAGGATTTAAGTTTTTGATAACAATTCGTTTTCTCTCTATAATTCTCTCTAATTTCTTAATTTCGAAATGTTGTCGGTCGATTGTATGTAATCAGGCACATCAATCAAAATACCCTGGAAGTTTGTACAAACTCTCAACATACTTGGATCACAGAGTATTTTTATCAACCAAGCGTATAATAAAATTAGCCATTTTTATTTCTCAACATATTTGATACACTAAATTTCAACTACAATTTGCTCTTTTCCGTTTTACATTCATTTCATATAAATATATTTTGCGTATAACTTTGACTTGTATGTTTGTGTGTATGTAATTTTTTAGTTATAACAAATTTCACAGATCTGATGTGGTTTTTCCAACCGCTCAACGGTTGTACTGTTTCCAACCATATTTCGTATGTACAAAGTTTTCCTTTTATTTCCCATCAACATTACAGTGATTGAAAATAATCAGATTTTTTGTGCGTTGCTGTGCAACTCACTTTTGAATTTACTCGTAAACCACGCGCACACACACACACATAATGTATATACATCGTTTGTTGATTAAGGGTGGTAAGGAAGAAGAACACACTTGGCTTTTATATTGGTTTCGTAATTATATTGCGTCTATGACGACGATCTCGCACCAAACTAAGTAACTCATAAGCGACCCTTTTTCTAATTTGATTTACCTCAAGAGGTGAGCAACGAACGTTAATTTCACTCTTGTGTGATTATAGAACGAGAAAAGTATGAACAACAAGAATAAGAAAGAAAAAATTTGAATGGAAAATAAAATAGAAGGAATATTTTATCCGACCGATACACATTGTACGAGGCGAAATTTTATTATGGCGTTTGCGCACGCTAACATATAATTAATATTAATTTTTGTTCGGCCGCATCGGTATAAGGCATATATGATATGAAATGATTTTTTTTTTAATATCAATTCAATTATTTTCAGTCTGGATATAAATGGTGGTAATGAGACACTAGTTTTTTCCGCTATCAAATATACATATACGAAAATAGAAAGAATGATACAATATTAATTTGTATATAAGCGGTTTTGAAAAAAAAAACTTTTTGTTGAAATCATTTTATACAAATGCATAATTTATTTCTTAGAACACTGAATTTTCATTGGAAGTGGAAATCTATCCATTCCAAATGACGGACATAATTGCCTTTTTTTCGGACACAAACATTTTTTGCCACTTACAATGTTATAGTGTGCGCAACAATCATCGTGTAAATAACTGTTCAAATTCTAGTTATTATTTTTTTATGTAGTTATAATTTAAAAAATGCACTAAAAATTCTATATATTTTTCATAAAAATGATCAAAATAAATTCCTTCTTATTTCTAGATACAGATTCAAATATTGACGTTAAATAAAAAATAAATTGAAAAATATTGAATAATGAAAGGTTGTTCAATGAAATTTTGAATGCACATTTCGCATTTTTATAAAACTATTCCAAACGAAAGAAATAATGTCTCTGCACTCAACATTTTTTTATGAGCTCATCGTATTCTGTCAACACTGATATATTTTTTCCTCTCTTTCGACAGATTTGATGAGCGAAAGTGGCACTCATTTATTGGTATTATAAAATCTATCGCATTAAAACTGGGTGATGGGGTAAAATATCGAATGCAATTCGACATGAACAATTAAAATTTAGTGTGAAATAATGCGGTTTCGAAATGTGAACAACGTAAAATGGTTAACAAAGGCTAGAAAATTGCTCAGCTACATCTCACTTTTTCTCTCTCGCACACACACACACACACACACACACACACACATACATACACAAACATCCAGGGCTTGAATTGATTCAGCTCATAAGCGGTAAAAGTGCTTCTTCACACGATTTTTTTTCAACGTCTCTATGCTGATGATATGAGCACACAAGCATCATAGTCATTGAGATGCATTTATTGTATTTCACAAATGAACGGAATACAATTTGTCCGTTGTAGTCGAGTCTTCTCTAACGCAATCGCAATTCTTTCTATTCATCAAAGAAATATAATCGCACATTCAGTTTAGTTTCATTGAATAGCGAAACGAAAGAGAGAAAAAAAAATATTATATTTCGATGTTGAAGGGATCGAGAGTTGAGCGTTGCCATTTCACATTCAATGATATAGCAGATCGTGTAAATGTCCTTTTCAAAAAGTGCCAAAGTGTGAAAAAAAAAAATGAAAAAGATTCTCGAAAGAATAATAATAATAATATTAACAACAACAGTGGCAGCATCAGCAACAAAATAGATGAAGGGAGAGCGAGAGAAAAAGAGTGTAGAAAGAATAGAGGCTTTCGATTCAAACGCGTTTAAACAAAAGGCAAATAATTTGGTATAATGAGAATGTGTATATGAAGCGTGAGGTCGAGATGACACTTTCATAATTTTTTTTTTCTTTTTATTATTATTCATTTTTCACTTCGAGATCCCTTGCCTTTCTTCTGTATGTCATATGTGTTTGTGTGTGTATGTGTGTGCGTGTGCAGATGCACATTCGCATAATTTTTGAAATTATTTTGAAATTTATTTCTCATTTTTATTTATTTGTTTGTGGCATTCGAAATAGCTGATGCCCGTAAATGTATAGACAAAAACCTATTTGATGAACTATAATAATACTCCCCTACGGTTTCGAAAACCAAGCGAATAATTTAATAGTTTACCTTTTTAGTGAATCTATATATATAAATTATCACGACTCTCAAACGATAATAACATACCAAATACGAAACGACTGAATAAACATAGTAAAGTACCGTTCCAATTCTATTGGCATTTCTCTGTAGTTTTGTTTATTCACTCCATATTCGCAAATTGTGTTCAATTCATCAAGAGTTCCACTTAATTTTATGTACTAATTTATAATTATTGACACGTACAGTTGAATTGAAAATGTTTTATTGGAATCATATTAATTTATCGAAGTGAAATAAAAATGTTGCGCTGAAATTGGAAATATGTATGTTATGTTATGTTCACACATAAAATTGACTTCGAAGTATGAAATGTGCTAAACTAGGACTTTTGTCATTTTCTTACTTTTCTGTAAATCAACATTTTCTTTTTATCTATTACTGAATAATACTAAAGTACTTGACGAGATGAATGCACATCAAGCATTTATTATTTTTGTACATATGTGCTTGCTTTGTGGAAAAGTGCTCCTCATCAGTTCATCTCTGAAATGCCATGTCGTTATAATAGCGATTCGAATCTTCTCTCACTCATCATACACACACACACACACTCGCATATATACACGCACAAACAAATTGTACTCCAGATCGGATATGGTGGTTTTTCATACGGAAAAAGCAAACAAAGCAAATAAATGCCACTTTTCTACGTATGCCTATGTGAAAGTATACATGAGGTGTTGATGATGTTGATTACGGGCACAAAAAAGGGGAGAGAAATTATTATTATCTTTGACTCGTTCGTTCATTCATCCATTCAGTCATCCATCAATAATATGTACGCAGTGCGTACCATATAGAAGATGTGATGTGTGTGTTTTGTCGTCAAATGTGTTAAAGTGAAGACCAAAATGCATAACATACATTATTTAAATGCATGATATTGTTTTCGATGCTGCTGCTGCTGTTGCTGCTGTCATTGCGTTGTTTGCTTGCAGTGCGTGCAATGCGTGTTCTTCGATTGTTCTCAAAATGGTATGAATTATTACGGGACTATATAAAAGTGTGCAAATAACTGCGATGTGTGTACTGAACACAAACCTAGGGGGCGAAACACTTTAAAACACATTCCAATTTTCAGCAATAAGCATTTGAATATTTTATCAATATTTCGGCTCTTGATTTCACTATCTTTAAGTGTTGAACACATTGAAAATCAGAATGCAAGAAAATTTCCTATATAAATTATATTTTAAGATTCATCGGTCATTTATGTAATCCAAAAAGAGAATAAAGATCTATAGATTATGAACTATACATTTTGAATTCTGTTATAATTTATTCTTGAATAGCTCAAACAGTATTTTTGCCCCCCTGATGCAAACGCATT